TAGTCAGTACAGTTTACTGGCCCCCTCGGCATAGTCAGTACAGTTTACTGGCCCCCTCGGCATAGTCAGTACAGTTTACTGGCCCCCTCGGCTCAGTCAGTACAACTTATGTCCCCCTTCGGCATACTGAGTACAGTTTCTTGGGCTGATCCATCATGCATGTTTCTCCACAGCCTACATGAAGCGCCGCCACAGCTCGGTGAGCGAGAGCCAGTCCGTTGAGGCCGGGGGGGAAACAAGCCAGGGAAGCAGCCCCCAGCACCAGCAGCACCAGCTGAAGAAGCCCCGTGTGGTCCTGGCCCCCGAGGAGAAGGAGGCTCTGAAGCGGGCCTACCAGCAGAAGCCGTACCCCTCACCCAAAACCATCGAGGAGCTGGCCAGCCAGCTGAACCTCAAGACCAGCACTGTCATCAACTGGTTCCACAATTACAGGTCAGGTGGGAGGGGGGGCTTTTCAGGTTTCACCACAGTGCTGAAGCTAGTCCTTCACTAAACGGGTTGTGTATGAATAAACACCTAACGCCTAACCTTTACAGGCCCATACATTCTGTGCAATTTGGAAGCATGTAATAAGCCTGGTGGAGTATCTGCAGGGTCCTGAGTGTAGGTGACCTTTGTATATCTGGGTAGTTCTGACACCTGCGCCACCATCCTTATGACCCAGGTCCCGAATCCGCCGTGAGCTCTTCATTGAGGAGATCCAGGCTGCCGCGGGAGAAGGGAGCTCCCCCTCAGCCCGTGGGGGCAAGGCAGGCGAGGGCGATAGCTGCGATGGTACCGAGTCAGACGGCACGGTGGAGGGTCGGCCCGGCCCAGCATCGGGCTCGGAGGAGTACAGGGGAGTCTCCGAGGGCGGCGGGGCCGACCCGGGGGAGGCTAGAGAGGAGGCAAGCGCAGAGGTGCCCTCTGGTACCCTTGCTTCTCAGGACATTCCTACCTCAGCCCTCAGCCCACCTGGCACTAGCAGCCACAAGGGCGGCGCCATCGGCAGCTTGTTCAGCTTCCCCGAGACGGCGCCCCCAGGCACTAGAAACCCCAGGGACAGCAGTTTACGGAAGAAGAAGGCTGCCAACCTCAACAACATCATCCATCGGCTGGAGAAGGCGGCCAGCCGCGAGGAGCCCTCCGAGTGGGAGTTCTGAAGCCCCTCTGGCGGGGGCAGGGGGGAGGGTAACTTTTTTTTTTTTTTTAAGTTAATTCTTACCTGGACTGCAGAGCCATGGCCAAGCCTGGTACAGCGCAGCGGGAAAGCTGGCATGTTATAGATTTTCTTTTTCGGAGAGGAAGAAAGGAAGGGAGGTATGAACGGGACAAAAAAAATAAATCAAACTCCTCGGTGTGGTTCTGTTGAGAAAAGCACTTAAAAGCCCTGCTGGCCACAGGGCAGAAGCATCCCCGGCCAATGGTGCGACACGGTGCAGACAGGAGCTTTCACTTCCAGGAGACTGCGCAGCTTCGAGCAGGGGAGCAGGGGAAGGAAGCTGTGTCTGTCTGTCCAACTGCTTTTCCTCCGAGAGGTTACTGCGCCACGCAGGAGCGTTTCCGACCGCGCCCCTCCAGTGAGCCCCCCCACCACCACCTGACCCACACATGACGGAACTTAAGAACTGTTACATTACCCCCCCTCCCCATCACGTCTGTCGTGATGTTTTTCTCGTCTCCCTCCTCATGTCGTGTATATGTTTTACTGTCCAGTACGAAGACTGAAAAAAGCCAAGCACTTACAAACAGCACCCCCGCCCCCCCTTACGACGGTTCCTTGCTCACCAAGCCGCCATTTAATGGCTATGGATTTCCGTCAGACTATGGACTACTTTGGAAAGAATTTTTTTTTTTTTTTTAGAGGCTTTTTTTTTTTCCATCAAAAATTTTTTATAGCAATTTGGTTGCCACTAAGAGATTGCACAGTCTGTCGACTCTAAACAGTACTAGTTTGGAATCCTAGCTATTTTGAGAGACGAAAAAAAAAACAACAGATACTCTGGTTTTAAAAGGAATAATGAGATATCACTTTAATTCACAGATTTTTTTAACTCAAAAATAATGTTCATCAGGAAAAACAAATAATGAGTAAAAATGTGGTGGTAGCTGGTTTTAGTCTTATTTCTTGTAAATGATCTATAGCTCTTTGACAAGTAGGTGCACATTTATTTCATAGCTTTAACTGACTTCTTGGTCTGCATCTGGGCCTCGGGGCGTTTGTGTAACATGCTCCACTGGCCGAAATCAGGAAAGACTCGCAGCAGAAAAAAAGACAAAAAAAATAATGTACACATGGAGAAATATTTCAGTCTAGATATTTTTAAGAGACAGAAAATAACCTGCTTTTTAACCTCTAACCACAAAAACCACACTATTGAGACCTCATGCCTGGGCAGGCAGTGTGGCCTAGGGCTACCGCATTACGCTGGCCTGGGGGCCGTGGCTGGGCTCGGCACACTCCAGTCCGAGGCTCAGGGCTCAGGGCGATCCCTTAGCAAAGGTTGGCAGCATCTTGCCGTAGCCCTGTGCTACTCACTGTTTTGTGTAAATATGTATATTGTTCAGATTCCCTCTGTGTGCGGTTATCTCGCATGCAGGGGTGTGGCCACGCACCAGCAGGGAGCAAGTGGTTCACTCTATTATGCACTCTTACCCAACATGCAAGTCACACGACATACTGCCCTCATAGTACCTCCTCCCTCGCCAGTCTCCTGCATGTAACCTTGAATTATATTTACAAAGGGCAGCTCGCATATTGACTTACCCCCCCCCCCCAATCAAAGAGAGAGAGAGAGCATGGGAGAATCTCCTAGAACGGGTCCCAACTGCTTTTAACCCAACTGGTTAACATGAGCACAGCAGCAGAAACTAGCCAAATGACTGAATACCAAAGCTTTCGATCACCCAAGTGGTGCATCCACTCCCTCCAGTCTGTCTGAAGCCATCCCATTCAGATTTGTCGGCCGAGCTGCCAGAAAAAATATCAGGTGATTCATACTGTCCCCGCTTCACCCACCACCCAAAATCGGATCGGCCTTTTATATAGTAAGAGATTTTTATCGTAAACTCATATTACCTAGGAGAAAAATTGCCCCTCACCTAAGGGATGCGGAAATTTAATCTCTTTTACGATCATAATTTGCTACTGATTCTTTGCCCCTGTACTGGCTGCCCTTTCTGAATATGTTCAGTGTAATACCGACGGTTGCCGAACGGCAATTGCTGCGGTTGCCACGGAGAATGGGGGGGTGGGAGGGGGGGGGGGGGGGGACATGAGCACCCTAGTATCTCTGAACACGGACTCCTTTCCCGAGATGTAAGCTGTCGAGTGGATCCAACCTCCAGTCTTAGCATGCATCTGACTTCAACCCCCTCCCCCACAATTTCAGTGCCTGCCAGCCCACTGCCTCCCCGTTGTGTGTGTGTGTGTGTGTGTGTGTTTTCATCAGTGTGTGAGACGGAGAGAGAGGCTGGGAAGGTACGACACGGGTACCGCTGCCCTTGTCAGGCCCATCCCAGAGCGTGTGATCCAGCGTGTGTTGGGCTCCTGTGTGGGGCTCCTGTGTGGGGCTTTAGTTTGTACATACCCGCGCACACACAGAGTGCACAAATGCCGCCCACTTCCTTTAAGACGTTTTATCGATTTCTACTGCTTCTTATGTAACTGATCTTTAGGTTACTTCTATTTCCATATCCTATGAAAACTTACAGTAGATTATTTTAGAGATATATATATATATTTTTTTTGTTCTTTCTGCTTATTTATAGGTGCTGTATTTTTCATTTCAATGTCTTATTTCATTTGGTTTTTGTTCATTTTTTTGTATTTTATTGAAGGGATTCTAATGGGGGAAGTAATTTTTTTTTGTTGTTTTTTTTTGTTTTTTAGACTGATAGACTGCCGGCAGTATTGGGTATTACTTACAAGATATAGTTGTCATACTTGTATATTAGTGTACTCTGAGGACTATTCTGACATTTATATTGTTTAAAAGAAATAGGTAAGCAATGAATAAGAATGATGACGATAGCGTTATATGGTGCGTTCACAGTTCACGTTACTTTTTTTTATTTGGAGTGATGTTTCCGGAGGACAGAAATAGACGACACCTCAGCACACTTCACTGAAGTTTTAGTACCGTATGTTGATTTTATTTCAGTGTTTTGTTTCATAGGTCAGGCTTTGAGCCGTGCAGAAGACTAACTGGCACAAACGGGTCATATGCGAGATAAAATGGCATCTAAGGCTTTGGGGCGTAAAGAGCAGCAACAGGTCGGCTACAGGGCTGTCAGCTGTTCACGCTCTGTACAGGAGCAGCAGCCTCAGGTGCATCTCGAGCCAAGAGGAACGAGCAGCAGTTAAGATTTTGGAGGCCAGGAAACTGGGGTGGGGGGGGGGGGGTTGGGGGTCAAACTTTTGATTTCATTGTGAAGTAAGTCCTGGTCAGAAAGAGTTGACGTCACACTTTTTTTTATATATCCTACTCCCATACTTGAGCGATTGGGTCTGCGTGTGGTCCTGCACAAGGCTTGTTTTCAGAGTGATGGACAGCCAGATGTGCTGTGCAGATTCAGGACTAGAGGGAAAAAGATGCGTCACAATAATGTTTTCCGTATCGCAAAAGAGAATTACGCTTCAGCGTGTAAGTTGTCTTTCTCACAGTTTCGAATGCAGTAATGGCAGAAGCTGACAGGGTAAGCCTGGTAAAATCTGTCTTAAAAGGACTTCCAGAAAAGTCTGGAAGGCATGTTACTGCAGGCGCTGTATGTTTGTGCGCCTAGTTTTTTCACATTTCTGTACTTAATGATGTGCGTTCCCTGTTTTTATATGAGCATGCGGGAGAAAAGAGGAGCCATAGCCTTTAGACGGCCAGCCTTAGCCCATGCCTACCATGTTTAAAGCACAAATGTCCCTGGACACTCTCTAAGAGTTTAAAAGCAGACATGTCAACGGAACAGGCTGGGCTTAGAAAGACAAGTGAAATTGTGCTGTTTGTAATTTTTAATCTTGTTTTGAGGTGCTGTCATTGTGCTGATAACCTTTTCCAGAAAAGGTTGTTTTCTACCAGCTTAAAATGAACTTTCCATTTTTTTTAGCTCTTGCATAGGCTAAAATATCATAAATGTTATAAAGTCTATGGTTAAAATCTACCTGTAATAGCACTGCCCTGTGATCTGAGCACTTAATGTGGCCTACACTTAATCCACTCTCTAGACTGGCACCCAGCCAGGATTGCACAGCTGAGACAGCTGTGACCTCAGTGTTATGACGAAGAGTCTATCACTGCATGCCTGGGCCGCTCCTACAGCACAGCAAGGGTAATGCAATTACTCAGGAGGGCAGCAGGGGGCAGTGACACAGTGTCAAAAAGAAGCACAGGCATCTGTGAAGACCCAGGTCCCTTTCACAGACAAATTAAGTTCCTCTTGAACTCTGGGCTGCAGGGTCACACTAGTTGGAAATGTTGGATGGTTTTTTGCTTGTGTGTTCGGTGTTTATTTAAAAAAGCACAATAGGTATTATATAATGAATGCAGTTGATGCTATAGCACTGGCATTTCATTCACGCATCTTCCCAGTGAGTTTGATAAAACGCTTAATAATTGGTAGCACTTAGCTGTTTTACTGACAGTTTCCAAGCCATGGATAGTCCAGAGTGCCTTGAGAGCGATCCTGATGATTCGCTCTGCCGCCAATGCAGTAAGGTTTCAGTCCATCTCTAACTTGGGAGGCTGTTTTGGTGTGAAGCCCCGGATTGATTCTGTTTTCTTTGTATGATGCTGTCACACGCCCCCATTCACTCGTCAAACAAAGCCTTGTGCAGCTGCCACTGAAAAATGAATTAAGCCTATTGAGAAGATAGTTCTACTGTTTAGGTAGCTCAGTGTAATTTCACACTGCGTGCGCTTTCCTGTGTGTACATGTAGAGTCCATGGGAGTCTTTATGGTCTTTGTCAGGAATCGGTTTTGGATGGAGCACATAGTACGCTGAAGCCTGAACCAAACCTGTAACAAGCTCCCCTTCTTCCCTTCTTGTTTGGTTTGTGTTCCCCTCGCAGGATCAGCTGTGTGTTTTCTTCAGCGTGGCTGACAGCTTATGCCCCACAGAGACGCTGGTCCTCTCTTTCGGCCACCTTCTTTCCCCATGCCTAGTGAGATTCTAAGGCTATAGCCAGCAGTTTCAGGGAGTCTCATGTATAAATGTCACATCCCTGATGCAAGGGGGTCGACGTAGCTTTGTGTTATGTGGGCTTGTAACAGTGCCAGGGTCTTCCAGTCGGACTGTAGGGTGCACCAGGGAATTGTAGCTCTAATCCCCCCCATACCGTTCCAAATGAGTTCAGGGTTCACAGTGACTTGGCTGTACACTTTCGAGAGCAGCACGATGCATACAGCCATTACTTCCACTCATTGTGGTTCAGCTACCAGTGATGAGACAGAGAGCTTGGATTGAATCTATTCTCCAGAATGTCTTACTCCAGTGATCACATTGAGTGATGAAGTGACAGAATAAATTTTGCTGCCCTCAGTAACTTGAACCTCCATTTTCTACAAAAATATTTTAATCACCAAGTCTTTTTCATGAAGTGACGTTTCCCCAAAAAGGAATGCTCTGCTATTCAGCTCTCTGCCGTTACCATTTTGTGTTGCGTCCATCTTGGTCTGAGAAACGTGATTCACATAAGAATCGGTGCTGCTGGGCGATGGGCTTTGGGTTTTCTGTTTCCTGCCTGTTCACATTTCAGGAGCGTCAGCTCTGTGTGTCACAGCAAATCTACCGTTAAGGTCAACTTTTAAATATCTGAGCATCCGTGATGTAAAAAGTCGACAAAACTTGTGCATGATTAGATAAAAGCCAAATAATGGTGGTTAAACGGGTTGTTTTATGCATTTAAATGTTTTAAAGCTTTTGAAGGTCAGCAGACATTGTTTTTATGTGTCCCTTGCAATGTCTCCCAGTTTACATCATGCGAGTCAAGCTGCTGTCTCCCAGAGGAAGGAGAGGGTTGGGATGTTGCGTAACACAACACTGAAAACCTAGCCTGGTACGCCTCTCATCAGCGGTCGTGTCGTCAGCTGTCATTCACACGCCCTGTGTCACTAATACAC